CATGTATGTTTGCAGCCATTGTTCCTAGGTTAGAGTGCAGTTGAAGTTGTAGAGATAATATAGGTACTGCACGCATCACATTTCTTTCTCCTTTTACTTCTGCCATGAAACTGCCAAAATATATGTGATCCTCAGGCAGGTTCTTCATACATACACCCACCCGTAAGGATATACGATGCATGAACCCGAACTATATTGAGTTTAGATTTCCACGGATAAAAGGCCCACCCTTGGCACAGGGTATGCGTGTTATCTAACAAAAATGCTTGTTCATATGGAACATCTTTTATGCATAGCCATCTGATCGATCAATTAACATATTTTTGTTGTAGTCTTAGTTTTCTAAAAGGTTATAATAATTATATTGCTGTTAATATTACGTGGTTTCTCATTTATGTTATAGTAATACACATGTGTATATACCACTAGCATAAACCTTGTTTTTTTATACCAAAACTTTCTCCTCTGCAGTCCACGTCATTGCAAAACTACTGTCGTCCATTGCCTGCTATACATGCAGGATTACCGGTGGCGGAGCCAGAACCAAAACATAGGGGGTTAATTTGCCAATTAAACCCATAAGTACATAGGTAGTAGAGAAATTAATCTTACTAGTTACTACTTATAATCAGGCCACAGTAAACAAAATATAGTTGACTGTATGGTCTATCACCCAATCAGCCATATATATATAGAGAGAGAGAAAGAGAGAACTACTATCCTGTAGCAAGTATAAAATAACTTATTCTATAACCACTTTAAGTTACGATAATTACTATGTTAATTTACGAGATTATAGTAACTCCTTACTAAGTGGTTTACTATAACGTTATGATAAATTTCTCCATGTGTTAGAGTAACCCAACTATCGTAAATATGTATTGACATTATCGTAAATTAGTATATAAAATTATCGTAAATGGAGATGGCTATAGAATAACTTATTATATATATATCCTATCGATTTTAGTCTAGAAGCAAAAAAAAAAGGAATAATCAATAAGAAATCAGGCATACATGTATGGCTGTAAGCATGTAGCCTGTACGTAGAGCAGCAAAGGGCAGATGCAGAGGAGTAGAAGACTGCTATGTGGGGGGACGGAGCTGAAGCTAGCTGCAGGTCGACAGCCCCGGCCGTCCAGGCCTCGCCGCCCCGCCGGCTCGACGGTCACTCGCTGAGGCACTGACTCGGTGACTCGCCACTCGCGGACGCAGAAGGCAGCCGGATATGACGGTCTCGCAGAGAATTGCGGCTTGCGAGTTCCGAGCATTGGGTGCTGCTTCCTGCTGACCTGTTGTGCCGGACAATTTGAGCTGGACTGAATATGGGCTCCTTCAAAAATTCATGGAGGCAAGGGGGGCCATGGCCCTCTATGGGCCCAACGTGGCTCCGCCAGTGAGGATTACCATCCGTTCCTACTGGCCGGCATAGGAATAAAAGCATTGCACGTCGCTGCAAAACTACCGCCGTCCATTCCCTGGTACACATGCAGGATTCCGTTCCTACCGCCGGCATAGAAAAAAAATAACTCGAACCTTCCGCCCCCTATAACATGCACAGCCAGCCGAGCGTCCATCAATTCCTCGAGCCTTCTGTCCCCAATGTGAACGTCAAAAAAACTCCTTCCTCCCCACTACTGCTCCCAACACCGTCACCGTCGGTCCGCTCTCCACAGCCCCACCGCTCCCTACTACCAGCGCTACTGCTCTGCCCTCTACAACGTCGATGCCGTTGCGGCTGCTCGACCCCTCCCAGCATTGTAGCTACTGCTCCGCCCCTTCCAGCGGCGATGTCCTCACGAGCACCTCCTCTTCGACAGCAAATCAGAGACTCCAAGACCAATAGGTTGCCTCCTCTTTCTATGTTGCTTTCTATTTTAGGATTGGATTCGTTATTTTATGTTTCTTCGTTTCCACTCTTGCCTATTCGAGGGTTATAATTTAGGGTTAGGATTTTGGAACAAAGTTAGGGAAGAGTTGTTCCCCTCTGATTTTAGCATGTTGTGTTCAAAGATTTTAGCATGTTGTGTTCAAAGATTTGATAGATCCATTCTTAGTTTGTCATATTCCCCCTTTTTTGGCTTGACTTGTGTCTCTTCTCACGCTCTTTAACTGTTCGACAAATTGTCTTTGCAGGCCTTGGTCGCGCTCGACTGTTGGATGAATTGTCTTTGCAGGATATGGTCATGTCGGTCAAGTTCTAGGTGATGTCGTCCCTGGCCAAGCGCCCAGGCGAAGGATCCATCAGTTCTTGTTCCCTCTTTCCCTGCTGCTTCCTATTGTCTTTGGTTTGTACTCCCTCCGTCCCAATTTAAATGCACATTTTGGATTCGAATGGGTAAAATACTGTAGCTGGCAAATTACAATTCTACCCCTAAAAGTGCAGCTGTTGTCATCAGAACCATGTTGATTGACGCTGCAAGAGAATAAAGTCAACAACAGTATATAGTAGAAATGTGTGGCCACAATTTCACCAGAACATCAACAGACAAAAAAGCAACAGTGGATGGACTAAATGTGTGGAGGAGACTACGCTGCACTTCCTACGTTTCTTTTTTTTTAATCGAACTTTTATTTCCTCAGACGAAGTGTAGGTCACAGATACTAGTCACACTTCAGATGCACCATTTATTTTGTACTGTAAACGTGCAGTTAGACCCTACTTTTGACTTCAGATTTGCATGTCCAATTATGGACTATTTAGTTAAATTTATTTTGGGAAATTTTATTCTTTTACCTATATTTAATGAACTGTAAACGTGGGTGGGATCTAAACCGTTATTACGGGATGGAGAGAGTATTTCTTTTATTGGTGTTGACTTATTTGTATGCTGCATAGCTGTTGAGTTCCACAAGGCCTCCATCTGCTCCCCGCTGCCTAGGCCAGGTCGATCCCCTGAGGTGCCACCAATCATCTCCAAGGCCCTTGAAAGATGTTTTGATGAGGTATTTGTTTCTCCGTTAACTTCAGCTCTTTCATTAAATGAATAGATAAATGAATGCTCTGACTCTTCACTGCCACTCTGGACTAGACGACTGTACTTAGTGTGGAGTGTAGAGAGGACATAAACTAATTATGTCAGAGGCACTATGTAGTGATACGTTGTGCCTTAAGCCTTCTTAATTTATCTACCTGCTCATATACTGTGCTCTCTTTATTTATGTTGGTAGGTACATTCTAAAATATCCTCTATCTATTATTAAATATATTATTCTATTGTTTGTTAATCTTCATTTTTATTGTTAATATGGACTTCGGCTACATTGCAGCAAGCATAGAACTACTCATCACTGAGTTTAGGGAAGACTAAAACAAACAATATTTCCTCATCCCCTACCTTTCATCATTGATTATTTGCCTCTTATTTTCTTATTTCTTTTTTCAATGTTGATTCAGAGATAGGAGGATGCGCTTGTGGCCAGATTTCACTAAGTGAGCAACTAACCTCCTACAACCAAGAAGCTGAGTCTTACCAAGGTTAGTCACAATGTGCATCCCTGATGTAATGACTTGCAGCCTTGGTTGATTGATAACATTGTGATTGTCATATATTGTCTACCTTTGCTTCCTTTTGCTTTAATATGTGCTCCCTAATTTCTATTTTCCAATGGCAATTTAACAAAGATGCTTATTAAATTTCATATTTTTTTGCTTAACTAGGTTCACAAAAATATATTGGATGTTACCCAATAAGAATGTAGGTGCAATTTCTTTGATTGTTACAAATGGTTCTACTGTATGTTACCGACCACCGAATCTTACTGGCTGCACACTAATCTCTTTCATTTCTTGACAGGAACTCAACAACAGAAGGGAACACTCCTTCAAGAGGCCAAATAAAAGAAGAGGTTCTATATTCAGCTACCATTTATTCTTACCCAAAGTGATCCTAGGTGTAGTTGCCAATCTTTTTGGGAACCTCCGTTAGTTGCCGATCTTTCTCATGCATGTGACATGTTTTCTTATCGTGCATGCAACGTGTTTTGTCCCTATGTGGTTATACTATTTTGAGATGGTTATCATGTATGGGTACTCCACTTTTAGTTATAGTAATAGGTATGTGGAGAGACCACTTTGAGTTGTATATATTAATGTCTTTTGTCATTTCTCTCCATCTGCCACCTTGCTTTAGCTACTTAATATTTGTCTTCGTAATATCCTTTTTTCGGGTAGTCTTCGTAATATTCTACTAATAGATTGCGTGGATACCATGGTTGCATATATTAATGTCTTTTGTCCTTTCTCTCCATCTGCCACCTTGGTCCTGGCTTTAATCGCGGTCTCTTCGCATTATCACTTTTTCGGTAGTAAGGCTTACCACCGACACCCTTCCCAGATTGCTGGTGAGCCTCTCTATCTATACGTCCTTTATGCTCACGTTATTACCGTGCTCCAATCTCATATTCAGTGCAACTGAGTATACAACATCAATAAATATATGGTCAGTTGGATGTATTCTTGCAGTACTTCTTGGTCAGGTGGGTTTCTGTGTTTGTTTTACAGATTTCGAAGGTTTTAGGTTTCTTTGCTTGGCCATGACGCCACTGCTATTGTTTTATTTCTCTTGCATGTATGTTTGCAACCATTGTTCCCAGGAGAGAGTGCAGTGATCAGCTTGTAGAGATAATCTAGGTACAGCACACATTCCATTTCTCTCTCCTTTTACTTCTGCCATGAAATTGCCTAAACTGATGTGATCCTCTCGTAGGTTCTTGGTACCTATGGCCACCTATGTGGATATACGATATATGATCCCGAACTAGCCTAAACCTTTCTGAGTGTGAAATTGACCTCACTGAATGTTCCATCAATTTGGCGGACGATCCGTGGATAACTAGCTCCTCGAGATCTCGGGTTGCATAAATATTGGCACACAATATTTTGTGGTCCGTCGAATTGACGGATGATCCGTCAATAATGTTCCAGCACTGAATTAATTCCAACATTGCTTAGCTCTCGTCGAGATCTTATAGTAACTCTATACCTTCTTTCATATATGTTAGCGAGCAACATTGGCTTTTCTTGCAGCATCAATTATTTCAAGGGCCCCAAGAACCCCCAACTTTGCAAGCTTGATGTTAATAACATGGGCAAGATTCCCATTTATTATTTTCTGAGCATCAAGTAAACTCCGACAGCTTTCATCAGCAGCAACAGCGACTTTGTATTTCTCCATGGACACATATATAGTTAACATCTCGGAGACCGTCCCAATCTGGTTTCTGTGAACTGGTTGCTCAAAGAGCACAGGGGTCACTCCCATTTCTGAAACCAATGAAAGAATAGAAACATGTTAACTTAGTTCAAGCATTGGAAGAAGGTCGTACAGTCCAGATGACAAATAGCTAACAACTTTAAGATGAGAGCTCTAGCAATTTACAGTTTGCAGGAGTACGGACCATTTAGTCTATCAAGAACAACTTCAATTGCTTGGTTTGCTGTGTATCCCTCATTTGCATCCAAAATCACTTCAGTAGTTCAGCGCCCGAAAGCCATATACATCCATTTCTAGACATTAAACTGAACCATCAATATCGGGTACAGCACGTTCGACAAATTCAGATTTGCAAACAACCTAGACTTCTTAACTCGAATCACGTTCCTATGTTCCCTACGTATCAATGATCAAACACTTGTCAATCCACCGCGGCAACGGAAGGCAAATTTTACATGGTGAGTTGGACGAGAAGCTGCGGATTCCTCACCGAGGCGAAGGCGTGTCCCGGGAGTACACTCACAACATCCTGGAGCAGTGCGCCGAGGGGCGCCGCGGGGGCGTCGGCGAGCGCGGCGCACGCCTGTCCCGTGGCATCGAGCGCTTCGGGCTGGTCCTAGGCCGTGACTGAGGGCAGCACAGGCGCCTCCCTGCACCCGACGGCACCGCTGCGGAGCTCGACGCACATGACGACGTTGGAGGAGGGGTCCGATCCGATCTCGCCTCCTCCACCGCCTTCGCTGGATCTACGCGATGCTACCATTCGCTTTGGATTGGTAAGGAGGGATCGCGTGCCCTGGCCGTCACAGCCCTACCCTCACCCTCACAGCAGCCGCCACCGCCGCCCTCATCCTCAACACCGCCGGCCGCCATAGAAAGAACGAAGAAAGAGACTGAGAGTCTAATAGACTACTTCAATCATCCCTATAATGCTGAAAACATTGTTTTTCTATTATAGATTTACCATTCTACCCTTAATTACACAAAAAAAATCAAAAATAGAATTATCACAAATAAACTATACTACTTCGATCATCCCTATACTACTCAAAACATTATTTTCTATTATAGATTTACCATCCTATCCCTTAATTACAAAAAAATTCAAAAATAAAATTATCACACCTTTTTTTCAGATGCTGATCCCACTAATTTAGTAGGCGTCTGGTGCCTATGGTCCCACCATTTCTATCCTTAATTACACAAAAAAATCAAAAATAGAATTATCACAAACAAACTATACTACTTCAATCATCCCTGTACTACTCAAAACATTATTTTCTATTATAGATTTACCATCCTTCCTTTAATTACATAAAAAATTTCAAAAATAGAATTATCTCACATTTTTTTTCCATGTGCTGATCCCACCAATTTAGTAGGCGCTTGGTGCCTATGGTCCTACCATTTAATACGCACTTGGTATCTCCTGGTGCCTCTTCAATTGGTGCCTCTACCTTTCTAGCCATCGGATCGCTCCTCATGAGCCGTCTATTTTTCGGCAACCATAATAAAAATTCTCATAAAAATATGCATATTCTAGTGTTACTATATTTAGATAGTAACTCCATTAAACACCGTCTAAACGCTAAACAATGGGTGACTGACTGTTTACCATTTAGCGCTTAGGATAACACTGATAATAAATTCTAAAAGTTAGGGTCCGACGGTCTTTGGTGGATGGTGTTGTAATTTTGTCATGAGAAGACTTGTTTGATTGTACTTGTATTCATTTCAATCCACATATGTTGGTGGATTAAAGTGGAAATTAAATAAGCTTACACATCGATCCACCCTAAGCTCTAAGGAATACTCTCCACACTTTTTTAAGCTCTCTTTTATTTCCTTTTTGAATTGCACAATATAGATACAAGCGCCAACAAACACGCATTGCACTTACTCTATAAACGCACGCACGTAAACTTTATCTCTATAAATGGATGTACGCAAATCCTATGTATATGAGCACCTCACCTTCTTTTCGAGCCATTATTCTTTTTTTTTTGAAGTACATAATATAGATGTATACACACATCCACTCACTCCTATGGATGTAGACATAGCATATCTCGAAGTTGATAAAGCTACCATAGATAATTTGTTGTCCAGACAGTTCATACCTACTACTAATATCATAGCACCCCAGTTGCAACAACTTTAAAGTAGTGTGGAAAGTATTACTCTTGGTAGTACCACACTCACAGTTGGCTCATTCCTTGGTGCAAGACGTAAGACCACCATCTGCTATATATCTTAACTTGGATAGGCTTTTGAACAATTCTGATTTTGGAGCAACCATGGGTCAAATTCTTTGAAACTAGAAGAATTTGCCAGAATAGCATCAATACTTCCTTGCCATCTAGAAAACCTCTAACTCTCATAGTCTTCTGGGACTTACCCATGACTGCTTGTTTTGAAATGGCCAATAACTCCACTTCATCATTGTTAGGATCAGCAGCAACTTTCAACGTTATTTATCTATCTATCTATACTATAAAGGAGCGAAGAAATTGAAAATTATCTGTCACTAGAAAAACTTCCTACCCACTTTAGATTGATGGACCCACAATGTAAGGACGTCAGGAACATACGAAACAATGCGTGTAAGCGTGTTTCTCTCTTGCCCCCGCGCTCTGCTCACTTTTTTTTTCACCGATTTCATTACTCGCCCGCGTGTACCCACGGCGGTTTCCTCCTCGCTTGTTTGCTCGGATCCAACCACTGAGTCGCGGTCGGGTAACCAATCGCGGAGACACGGTCAGGGCTCAAGGCGTCAGGCGCTAGGCGGCGGTTTCCTCATCTCCACTCGGATTCACGGTGCGGCGGTGGCTCCCCCTTCTACACTCTCCGCCGCTCCCGCCTCCCACCTTCCATACACCGGCGAGGAAAATAAATGAATTAAAATAAAAATAGTAAAATAAATATATTAAAAAATAAAGAAAATGAAAAGAATGACAAAAGTCCACAAAAAAAAAAAAGGAAAATAAATGAATGAAAGGAAAAAAGGAAAAGGAAAACATACAATAAAAAATGAAAATAGAAAAAGGAAACAAAAAGAATAATAAAAGACCAAAAAAAAGGAAAATGAAAAAATAAAGGAAAGGAAAAAAGAAATAGAAGAAAAAAAATAAAAAAGGAATAAAAGATGGAAAGAAAGAATAAAAGATGAAAAAAATAAAAGAGAAAAGGAAATGGAAAAAAGAAATAATAAAAAGGTAAGAAAAGGAAAAGAAAATAAATAAAGACATAAAAGGTAACGAAAACTCACCTGGAAAAGAAATGGAAAAAGACATAAAACTCCAACTATACCACGCTCGCTGCAACGGATGATGTCGTTTAGGTGGGGATCCCTGGTCAGGTGGCTTAGCTTCGTGGTAGCATTACGGCTCGTCGGGCTACTGCCTATCGCCCTACACGGTGCGGCGATGCCTTGGCACAGCACTACGGCCCAGTATGATGTTGGCCTATCACGGTTGCTTCTTCCAACATGGCACTCCGATCGATGGTGTGGGGAGGGAAAATGAAAAGGTGATAAATTGGTCTCTCCTTTCTTTAAAGGATTAAGGGATGGTTTTACTCAATTAGAGAAGATTTTTTTTTGAATCTGGGCATCACTTCATTACTCATTGGCTAACAAATCATTAGCGACAATTATAGAAACACTCTCAGGCATAGAGTTGGTGACCAACTCCTCACCCTCAGTACATAAATGATCCAGCGCACCCAACTCATGTGCGGCTCTATTACAATCTCTACCAACAAAAACACACTCAAAGCATAAGAAATTTGAACTCAGCAGAGACTTGACTTCATCAATCAAGTGGCCAACAGCTGACCCCTCATACAAATTGGACTTGATGGCCTTTACCACCTCCTGGGCAGATGCGGCCTATTCCCATGTTCACTGCCGCCTGAATGCCTTGAAGGCATGCCATGAGCTCGGCATGAAAAGGACTGAGAAGGTGATTGACTCTCCCTCTTCCTGTCAACACCATATCACCGTCACAATCTCTGATAATAAAGCCCCAGCTACCTGACCGATAATCCGAATGAAATGAAGCGTCACAATTTAGCTTCAGCGTGTCCATCGGTGGCTTGGCCCAGCGAGCCCGTAGGCGGCCCTGTCTCACCGGTTGGTTGCTGAAAACCATTTCATTTTCCTTGGCATACAGCTCGACACTTCTTGCAAATACTTGGGGGCTTTGCCGCCTTCCCTCCTCCCTGATCAGGTTCCTTTCGGACCAAGTGAACCACAAAGCGATGATCATTAGCAATTTCTTGTGTTCCCTGGCTTTTAAAATTACCTCAACTGCCCCTTGAGCAGTACGTTTGGATTTGTGCCAGTTCAGTTCTCTCAGACTCCAGACCAAGCAAATTCCACAGGTGTTTAGCCGAGCCACATTTAAAGAACAGGTGCCCGCCATCTTCACCCATGTGGTTACAGACTGGACATCTTGTGCTAATTTTCATTCCGCATTGAACCAGGTTGCATCTAAGTGGATGACTATTATGTGCAAACCGCCACAAGAAATGCTTAATTTTATTTGGGCATTTGAGTTTCCATATGTCCTTCCACAGACTATTCGAAGCTATGTTACTTCCCCCTTGCTGTCTGTTGATAGCTCTGTTTCTCAGCTTGTCTGCTCGGGCCACCTTGTACGCACTCTTGACAGTGAACGTTCCATGCTTGTCATAATGCCAGGCCAGCGTATTAGCTCTACCCTGATGGACCGGGAGAGCAAGAATCAGGTCTGCATCCTCCTCCCAGAACAAGTCACGGATCAACAGCTCATCCCACTGGCCTGTGTAGGGGTCGATCAATTCTGTCACCTCTGAAAGCAGATTATGACCGCGTGGCGTGATCGGTCTTCTAGAAAACTCCCTTGGGATCCAAGGATCAGCCCAAATATTGAGTCCAGCCCCATCACCAACTCTCCAAATCATTCCTTTCTTCACAACTTCCAAACCCCCAAGGATGCTCCGCCAAGAATATGACATCCCGGCCTTCAGTTTAGCTTCCAACACAGAGGAGTTTGCAAAGTATTTCGCTTTCAAGACCCTAGCACACAGTGAATCCGGCTGCTGCCATAGACGCCACCCTTGCTTAGCGAGCATTGCCATGTTAAACAAGTGAATGTCTCTGAACCCGAGACCCCCCTCTTCCTTCGGTTTAAGCATTTGCTCCTTGCCCAGCCAATGGATTTTGTGCTTTCCTTCTTGGTGGTTCCACCAAAAGCGGCATATCATCGCCCCAATTTGGTCGCACATGGTTTTGGAGCGGTCAAAGCAACCCATCGCAAACGTTGGTATAGCCTGGGCCACGGCCTTGATCAGAATCTCCTTGCCCGCCCAAGACAAAAAAATTTCATTCCAACCTTGCAAACGCTTCCAGATTCGATCCTTCAGGTAAGCAAATGTATTTGTTTTGGACCTGCCCACTCGCACCGGCAGCCCCAAATACTTCTCGTTCATCGTCTCCTTCGTGACTTGCAACAGATCACAGACCAATTTTCTTTGATTGGGTCCCGTGTTCTTGCTAAATAATATAGCTGATTTTTCTTTGTTGATAACTTGGCCTGAACAATCCTCATATAGCTGGAGTATACTCTGCAGGTGCCTGCAATCCCCCTCGTTCGCTCGAATCAAAATAAGAGAGATCGGCGAACAATAGGTGTGAAATGCTAGGTGCACTGTGGCAGACTTTCACTCCAGCTAACAGCCCATCTTCTTCACCTTTCTTTAACAAAGCTGAAAATGCTTCAGCACACAACAAGAATAAATAAGGGGAGAGGGGATCTCCCTGCCGTAGTCCTCTATCCGGAGTAAACCTGTCAGACAAGTCTCCATTAACCTTCACCTGATATCTAACAGTT